GGAGCATAGTGTTCCTATGACGGGACAAAAGAAAGAAGGGGTAAAAAGATGAAAAGCAAGGGCAAGAAAAAGAAACGCATCCCAACCATTGAAACATGTTTCTTCGGATAGGAATGGTTTGCTAAAGCATATTAAGTTCTTTTTCTTTTTGGCCTGGTCCTATTCTATATTTATTTTACAGGCCACCGTGGGTACTATATGCTTTGGCACAGTTTGCGAAACCCTACAATCTCGTTCACTCGTCTTCATCCCAGCCTTCTCTTCTTGGGAAAGGTGGCCACTTCGTCAACCCCCAGTGATTTAAAGCATACTAAGTAAAGTAAGCTTGGTTTGACTAGTACCCTCGCTAAGAAAATTTGATGGGTAGCATCTTCAGTGCACGCTCTGCATAGTAGAAATATCAGGGCATACTCCGAGAAGAAGACAACGCACCTTTCTGCGCATGTTGAAGAGGACAATCTTTCTCCAAAAATGTCATACATTTCGGCCGATATCCATAGACTGAAAAAGTTCAAACCCTTGACAGCAAATATTTGAAGGACTTGCGTCAAAACAAATAGAAAATTAGGGCATGCCGATGGAGCACATCATTGATCGTGGATCAGAGGACGACTACTTTCTTTTAGAATTTAGCACATTATTGGCACTCCACAAGGAAAATGAGGAAGATAACAGGCGCATGTTGGACCACAAAGGAAGACCAACCCTTCGCAACACGTCCGATGACTCCATCCAATCAATGCGACCCAATTTTCTTTTACGGCAGAAGAAAAGCACACCACTTTTTCTTTCCCTCGGGGGTTTGTGCTAAGATCGAGAAAGTCTACTATGTGAATAGTTTGCAAGTATAGTCCACCCATCCAATCCATAAACTTGAACTTTGGTTCATAATAAAGCCATTTGATAAGACGGGTGACTATAGTTGATGGGGACATCACATAATGGACGTTTTCTCGTAGGATGGAGAATTGATTGGAGGACACTCCTAGAGGATTTCATGTCATGAATTCTAGACTCGTCGGAGATGTCCTATTAGCGAAAAGTGAGCAGCGGAATACAAACGGCCTATAGTAATGATCAAGGGGAGGACTTCCGTTATCCTTTCTTGCATTGATTGCAACAGGTAAGCTCCATGCTAAGACGGAACAGCTTCCCCACCACCGCGCTCAATAAATTCAAAGCGAGTGCACAAGGAAGGGTTCGAACTCGGCACTCAAAGGTGGGCATGAAAGTAGTACCATAATTAATGGGTCATCCCGCAGGGCAAAGTGCTGGAAGTGAGGATCGGAACCCTCACCTTCTGGTTCCCATAAGAAGAATCTGACAAGTTGAGCTGGTCGGCTATTGTCCGCCACACGTTGACACCTAAAGTTTGACAATCCATTTAAATATTCATTATAGAAAAATTTATTAATCGACCCTAATCCCTAACAAAAAAAAAATAATTACATTTTGTGTGTATTATTAAACCCACATAGTTTTCATATTTATTGAACCGGCATCATATTGATTTAAATGAATGGTTCTGAATTTAATAAACTGAACTAAGCCCATAAGAACATGAAATTTTGGTCAAGCTCATGGATACGTCAAATGGGCCGAAATTTCTATATATAAAGCAAGTTGGAATAATTGAATTACAAAAGTAAACTTGGAAGATAATTAGATTTATTCATAGGAAATAATCTAGAAAATTGCCTAAGATTGAGTATCAGCATTAGGAAACAAAAGCTCTAGACTTTACCTATAAAGAGATGCATTAAGTTCAGGATAAAAATAGCAGAAGTGTCATAACTTTCGTACAACGTTCACTTGAGTGTCATAACCTTTTTTTTTCTATCACTGAAATGCCATTTCGAAGTAAAATCATTCATTTGAGTACTATTTTCGGCGAATCATCTTACATGGATTTTTTACTTAATTTTCTATTTCAACATGGAAATTTTTAAAAATAAATGAAGTCCAAAGTGAAAATTTTTGTCCACTTGGAGAGAAACGATGCCGTTTCCGTGCACACCTCTCTCTCTCTCTCTCTAGCAGAAAATAACGTCCTTTATGTCTGTCTCTCTTGCTCAAATGATGACTTCGTTTTACTCACACTCTCTTCCTCTTGTTTGTCTCCAAATCTCAGTACACCCACTCCAAAATCGATTTCTCTCTCTAATCGCAAATTAGGGCTTCGATCTTCCTCAACACTTCATCTCTAAGCAAATAGAGCTCTCACTCGCACTCTCTTCCTCTTGTTTGTCTCTGAATCTCAGTACACCCAAAATCCCAAATCGATCTCTCTCTCTCTCTCTAATTGCAAATTGGGGCTTCAATCTTCCTCAACACTTTGATCTTCGCTTTCGCAGCCCACGATACCAAATTTATTGACTTTTATCTTGACTTTGTTTATAAATTCGTGAGCCACTTCTTTTGATTTTGCTCCCCATTGCGAATTTGATGAGATGATTTGCCCTAATTTGAAGAATTGGAAATCGTGGATTCGGTTAGGGTTAGGGTTCTTGAAGATAAAAATTAGATTTTGTCATAAATTGTTGAAGTAAGGCTAGGGTTCTTTCATTAGATGAGTCTTGCGAAGTTGTTTAGCATCTCAATTGTTGACTTCAACTTGCCTGCACGCCACGTCGGATTGTTTAATTTATCTTAATGCCATGTCGAAATTTTCAACGAGGCAAATCGCTCTTAAGTGATCAATCTTTCAAATTTGCGACACTTAAGCGAGTGAAAAAAAAGTTATGGCACTTAAATGATCACCGTATAAAAGTTATGACACTCCTACTGTTTTTATCTCCATTAAGTTCTTACAAAAGGGAAGATGTTAAAAAAAGAGGGGAGGGGAGGGGAGGGGAGGGGAGGGAGGGGGGCGATCATAATATACAACACGAGAGAGAAAGAAATAGAGACAAAGAAGAGGAGGTGCCCTGCCATCTGCGAGTTGCCATGCCCCCCTGCGTTCATCCTCACCGTGCGCCGCTGCTATCGAAACACCAATAGCCTCGACGTCCTAGCTTCTGTTCTTCCTCATCCCGACGCCGAGCCCCAGTCCAGTACAGCAGCCTTGTCGACGCCTGTGCTCCTTCGCTAAACCTGCTGTGACAAGCACAAGCAAATCCTGCCCCGACTGCAACAACTCGAGCCACAATATTGCAACAACACAGCCGTCGGGCCTCATTGAATCCTTCTAGTCCGTGAATAGCATTGCATGCATAGTGCCGTTGCGACCCAATCAAGCCTAGAAGTTGTTCCCTCCTCGCTAGGCCTCAAGGCCTGTAGCCGTGATGCCTGGCGAACTCCAACCAACTGCAACCATCCTTGCCTAGTCATCTAGCTCGTGCGGCAGCCTCGCCGCTGCGTCCGGGCTCACCACGACATGGTTGTCCTTGTGCCCCCGTTGCCAGTCTCGTTTTGGAAGTAAATTTTCCAAATTAGGTAATATCTAAAACCGAATTAATTACAATAATTCATTGCCTAATTTGTAATTAATTGAATCTAATGAGATTTCCTTGACATTTTTAAGCATTATCCACATTAGGAAATTTCCCGTTTTGATTCGTACGTGATATTGCGATTATGATCTTAAAGCACTAAGAACAAACCCTAGATAATCATTTTTGCCTGTTTGAATTTTTAGAATATTTGATTATGTGTGGGTTTACACATTGCATGTTATTAATTTTGGAAACTTTCCTATTTTCAAAAACACAAAAATTGAATTGCATTGAGAATGGGAAAATTACCAAAACAGTCATAAACTTATGGCAATTGTACTAATTCAATCATAAACCTTTTTTTGTGCAATTCAGTCCTAAACATTTTGCGTTTCTGCTAATTCAGTTTATCTGGCCAATTTTGGTCGGCCGGCACTGATGTGGACGCTGGCCGGCGTCGACCGTTTGGGTGACGCTGTAATATTTTTCAAATATTTTTATTTTTTTTCCTTTCTCTTTTTTTTTTCCCTTTCCTTCTTCCCTTGGCCGGTGGCCGCACCGGCCAGGGGAAGAAGGAAAGGAGAAAAGGAACGGAAAAAAATAAAAATAAAATTAAAAATTGCCATGTTAGCGCCGACCCGCGTCCACGTCAGCACCGGCCAGCCAAAATTGGCCGGATGAACTGAATTGACATAAATACAAAGGTATATGACTGAATTGCACAAAAAAAAGGTTTAGGACTGAATTGGCACAATTGCAATATGTTTAGAACTGTTTTGGTAAATTTCCCCATTTAGAAAATTGTATGTCATGCTATATTAGTTTATAATTTTTACCTGTCTTTAAAATTAGATCATGTCACATGTCTTTAGTATAATCACTCATGCATGTTAAAATTAGATTAAATTGCATATAATTTAGTTTCCATAAACAAAAAAAAAACCCAAAAGGAATTAATTAGAATTGTTTAATCATTTAGAAACTATGTTTAGGGCATGCATATTTTCACATTCACATCTTGTAGATACTTGGGGTATTGATAACAATGAAGCAATGCTTTGCTTAGTGCTTTGAAGTTTTTCCCATATTCTAGCAATTTATTTACCGCTTGGGGTATTTTCTAGCGACTGTTAATTGAATTAATTTGCATGTTAAATTGATTAAATCAAAATCTGAAAGTTGCGATTGGCATGGGTTTGATAGAGTCCGCGCTAAGTCTTTGGACTTAGTAATCCATTAACTTTCCCTCTGGTGATTCACCTCCGAGAAGGTCGTGTCACCACGTACTAGTAGATCCGTTTTGTACACCCGTACATGTGGCATTATACTATTGCCAAAATTGATGTGGCAGCATTGACTCGTGAAATTTCGAGAGGACATAAAAGGGTTTTTTTTGTGAGATGAGAGGGTGAGATGTCCATTAGGTAGTGTTGTCCACGTGGCTTTGAGGAAATGTTCATCTTAACAAAGAATCTTTTCTTTGGGGGGGGACCTCTTGGAGTTTTATTATAAATTGAGTACCTGCGCACCCCCACTTGCATTCATCTCCAGCATAGTCTATATGCAACCACCACCTTATGCAGAGGTGCCCCCTCTAATCTAACTCCCCAACACTAAAACCTCTCTCTCTCTCTCTCTCAAGCTGAAGCATAATTGGTAAAATCCAAACTCATATAGGATCAGATTTTTGTGAGCAGTCAGGGAAATGGAGGGAAGAAGAAGTGAGCACAAGGATGGTGAACTGAATAATATGAGTGAAGAAACCACTCTTGATTGGAGAGGCAGGCCTTCCAATCCTCACAAGCACGGCGGCATGAGAGCCGCAGCCTTCGTTCTCGGTCCGTCTCTCTCTCTCTCTCTTGTGCGTGCGTGCGCGTCCGCGTTTGCGTATCTTTGAACTTTATCTGGACTATTGTGGTGCATCTTCGGAGAGATACTGTCGTAAGTACCTCCCAATTTGGAATGGAAGATTGTTCATCATGTATATATTTTTAGTTTTGCCATAGTACAATAATCATTTGTGCACACTTATACTTAAATGTAAGAATTAGTTCTGTCGCACCTGTTTTGCGTTCGATTGGTTTTCCGTCTCCATCATGCATGCCCTTTTGAGATTGTTCTCTTCTCTTGCCGTGAATCCATTTCAGAGGTATAGCTTTGTAGCTGGCAATCAGTGTGTTTCTGCTTTTGGTTCTTCTTTTGGGGTAATATTGGCCTCACTTCTATGCATCCTTCATACTCCAGAGGTTGGTTTTGATGACAGCAGAAGCAATAATGATAAAGAGAATATTGATGAACTTTTTTTTCCCTTTTTCCCTTATTTGGTCTTTTATTTCTGTATATCTGATGTAGTGCAGTATACCGATATATAAATGATAATAATATCGTAACATGTACGAATGAACAGGACTACAAACGTTTGAGATAATGGCAATAGCGGCGGTCGGGAACAACCTGATAACGTACGTGATCAACGAGATGCACTTCTCACTGTCCAAATCGGCCAACATTGTCACCAACTTCGTCGGCACCATCTTCCTCCTCGCCCTTCTCGGCGGCTACCTCTCCGACTCCTACCTTGGCAGCTTTTGGACCATGCTCATCTTCGGCTTCGTCGAGCTCTCCGTAAGCATTTGCTGATGAATCCAGTTGCGACGCATTTCATATACTAATATATAGTAATATTGAGATACTAATAAGAGGTCTTGAAAGTTTCGTACATCATCATGTATGCGCAGTATATTCAAATGCTTCGGATGTGTCCACACTTTTTGTCTCTATCTCTCAAACTTCATTATTGGTTTCTTTTCTTTCAAGACTTTATGTTTTGATTCTGTCTTTTTATGGCCACCTTCTAATCTTGCTTGGTCACTTGTGAGCACACATGTTTAGTAGAGACTGTGTCTGCTACATCATGATTCACCAAATAAAAAAATCTGCATCAGTACGGGTCAGAGAAAGGGTAACTAGTTTAGCACTTGTTTAATACTAATAGTTATTTGTTAATCCCCCCGAAAAATGATCATTTGCAGGGTTTCATATTGTTGTCGGTCCAAGCACATCTATCACAACTCAAGCCACCAAAATGCGACATGATCCATAACCCTTCTGAGTGCGTCGAAGCGAAGGGCTTCAAAGCGTTCATCTTCTTTGTAGCCCTATATTTAGTCGCGCTAGGAAGCGGGTGCGTGAAGCCCAACATGATCGCCCATGGCGCAGACCAGTTCAGGAGGGACGACCCCAGCCAGTCCAAGAAGCTGTCCACGTACTTCAATGCGGCTTACTTCGCGTTCTCAGTCGGTGAGCTGGTGGCCTTGACCGTGCTCGTGTGGGTTCAGACTCACTCGGGCATGGACGTTGGGTTCGGCGTGTCCGCGGCTGTCATGGCCATGGGGTTGATCAGCTTGGTCTCCGGCACTCTTTATTACAGAAACAAGAGGCCCCTAGGAAGCATCCTCACTCCTCTTGCCCAAGTAATTTCCTCTCTCTCTATTCTTTATTTTATTCATATGGTACTAGCTACTCTAAGCTGGTGGCAAGAGTAGTTTTTTAAGACCCTTTATTTTTCCTTAAAATATGATGAGAAACTCTTGATTATGACCTAGATTACCACATAAAAAAATGTCTCCTGGTCAAACGGGGTTGCTCTTTTCTATGTGGTTTTGCTAGAGTGGAACGAGCTGTTTGATTTCGGGGGCTACGTGTGCTAATCTGTTTGCTTCTGTCGGCCAGAAAAAGGCTCAACATGCATCTGGTGTTTTGCATATGAACGATATCGTGCTCGTGCATTTGTTTAATGTCGTATCACATGAATCATTAATCAAAAGAGCTGTGTCGAAGAACGTGACTCGTGGCCAACCATCTGACAACCTTTATTATATACTGAAAGTTAAATAGTACTTCTGTCTTGTCTCCATATCTGCAGATATAATCTAGTTTTTAAGTGTTGTGTAAGTTCTTGAATAGGAGGTATTGATGAATACGATGTACTTTGTTTCATACGCGAAATCGCAGGTAATAGTGGCAGCTATAGTGAAGAGGGATCAGGTGCTGCCATCAAATCCGCAGCTGCTTCACGGAGGCCAAAGCAATATGAATGACAGCAACAACGACGGCTCATCCTTGTCGCCTCATAGTGGTGACCTTTTTCACACCGAAAGGTTCCGGTATATTTCCTCCTGTCCGTGTTACATTTTTGACTCTTTTGATTTCCCGATTCTTTTATTCTGAGTGGATAAGATGGATGCACGTCTCGTTCACCGTATTGTCAAATCATACAAGACTCATTAGAGATTCATATGATCTAACGAATATGATAAATTCATACATATAGTTCGATTCTCTTTAACAGAATGCTCATAGTTTGATTTATCTAATCGATCATCTCTACCGAGACGGCTTGTTTCTTCTCTCTTCGGCAGCTGGGGAGATAGTTTCTAATTGGATAAGGGTCGAATATTATTTTTGACATTTTTTCTACAAGTTTTGCTGGGTTGTGTTACCGCAATCATTCGTGTGATAAACAATTTCAGTCTTCCAGCTGAATTTAAATAAAATTCAGTGCTTTGTCTTATATGCTCATGTTTCGAGCAGTTGATTCCCTTTTATATCAATGTAGCTTACATTATCCCAAAGGTTATGTCAATTCCTTAAAAAACAATGAAAGAGCAAGACCATTAAGCTTCCTAAAACAACCTCCCAACAAAAATCATTCATTTGATTCCACACACCTAGAGATTTCAGCATTATCATATGATCATCAAAGATTTGATTTGTTTTCTGAGGTTTTGTTGTTAAAAATTTGATGGCACAGGTTCTTGGACAAAGCATGCATCAAGACCCAAGACGAGGCGAAGAGCAGAGAGAGCCCATGGAGGCTGTGCACGGTGAGCCAAGTGGAGCAAGTGAAGACCCTCCTCTCAATCATCCCTATCTTTGCATGCACCATCATCTTCAACACCATCCTGGCTCAGCTCCAGACCTTCTCCGTCCAGCAAGGCTCCTCCATGAACACCCACCTCGGCCGCTCCTTCCACATCCCGCCCGCCTCCCTCCAGTCCATCCCTTACCTCATGCTCATCTTCGTCGTCCCGCTCTACGACGCTCTCTTCGTCCCCTTTGCCCGAAGGATCACGGGCCGCGACTCCGGGATCTCGCCCCTCCAACGCATCGGCTTCGGCCTCTTCCTGGCCACCTTCTCCATGGTTGCCGCCGCCCTCATGGAGCGCCGGCGGAGGGAGGAGGCGGTTGGCAATGGCGAGATCATTTCCATCTTCTGGATCACACCGCAGTTCTTGATCTTCGGGCTTTCTGAGATGTTCACCGCCGTCGGGCTCATCGAGTTCTTCTACAAGCAGTCGTCAAACGGAATGCAAGCGTTCTTGACAGCGATCACGTACTGCTCGTATTCATTTGGGTTCTATTTCAGCTCCTTGTTGGTGTCCCTGGTGAACAAGGTTACGGCGTCGAATGGTGATGGCGGTTGGATCGGCAAGAACGACCTGAACAAGGACCGGCTCGACCTCTTTTATTGGTTATTAGCGGTCCTGAGCTTCCTCAACTTCCTCAACTATCTCTTCTGGTCTCGGTGGGTCTCTCGCGGCCCGCCTTCCTCGTTGGTGCCGTTGCAGCCTAACGTTAACACTGTCCCTTCAAAGAATTTGGGAAACGCCGATATTAATCGCGACATACCTTAGAATGAACGATACCATAGTGCTTAATTAATTTGAATCATTAATTATTGCTCATATATAGATATATACTTGCCCTAGAAGAATCAAAAGAGTCATGGAAGCTTTTGGCGGCCCCATGTATGAGTGCTTCCTTAAGGCTCTTAAAGAGAGAGTAGTAGTAGTTCATATTATAATAATGATATATGGATGTAATTTGCTTGTGTGTTGCCCTTACTTCTCACTAATATATGGGGGATTCACACAGTGAAAAGAAGTCGTGAAGAACCGTGCTTTCTTGACCTCTTGTGAGATTTTCTTTTTCTTTGTGCATGGAATCTAATAAGTGAAGATTGGATGCTTATAAATGTTAAGCATTGTGCCCTAGTACCAATTTGATGCAAAATCTTCAGCAGAACATCAAAAGGCGCTAAGTTATCGTTTCCATCGTTTATACCAACATTTCCACTAAGTATTAAGTGAACCGGGTCAAAGTGCTAGATTCATCTTTGAGCCGTTGAACCTAGTGGATCTCTTACAATTTTTCTCGAGTTTCATGTACTTTCACATCGGGAGATTTGTCAACAAAGACCTAGGAAGTCACAGTGGCGACGCGACAAGAGTAAAGAAAAATTTTAACGTCAAATAATCCATCCACTTCCTCATATGCTTCCACGTCGATGATTGGTTGAAATTACCACCAAGGCACATACTATTTGCTTTGGTACAAAGCTTGACATGCTATCTATCTCCCCGAAATTACCATGCAATGCGAATTATCTATGCAACATGAAAGATAGGGGTGTTAATGTTGAACCTCAGAATAATTGAGCAGGAAAAAGGAGTAATGGCTCGTTGAACCAAACGCGAAATGAGATTCCTTAAGAAATGGGGAATGGGAATCCAAGTCCCACTGTTTTTATGTTTAGAGCAAAATCAGAGTACAGATTTGGATTTCTCATGCAATGAAATTTCTAAAAAGGAAAAATGCTGAATCGGATTATCTAGCTATAGCTAGGATTGGGATTCCATCGTACAATTTGTTACAACCACAGAACTATCAAAAATTTCAATTCTAACACTGGCGCTGCTGCCATTGGTTGCCGATCGCCAGCAACTTGTCACGGCCAATGGTGGCCAGTCCTTCGACTTGGCTGTTGGCCGCCGGTGGCGGATCACCGTTCGCTATTGCTAATGAAAAGTATTCTCTCTTTGAGAACTACACTTTTTGCAATCCAAATAATTGTGCACGATCATTCTTTTGCGCGCATCGAATGTGGCTCTAAGATATCGAACTCCATCCACCACCTAAGTTTTGGGTGCACTCGAACTTTTCGAAAGCCAAATAACTGAATGGGGGTCATAGCATATACGTATGGCCCACAAAAAGCAAAGAAGATGTGCCCTTGTCAACAGTAGCATTCACTTTTGGATGTACTGTTGCAATGTGACGGATAAGAGGGAGTCTTCAATGAACTATGTTCAGCGTCTCTCTCGTCTTCATGCTGTGCAAATGCACTGTCCTTGTAATGAATCCATGGATTCTGGGCACCTTTTCTTTTCTTTTTTGGATGAGTGGGGTGTGTAGTGCTTTCTCACTTGTTGGGTAGGGGTCCCTTCTCTCTCCCCTTTGGATCAAACGAACGACCTAACTACTGCGATGTGATGGGATGCATGTACATGGAACACCGGCCAGACTTTCCCAGTAAAAGTCCAAAAGCAAAAATAAAAGGTGATTCAGAGAGAGAGAGAGAGAGAGAGAGAGAGAGAGAGAGAGAGAGAGAGAGAGAGAGAGGGGTTTCTTTTCAAAAGTGTAGTAGAGATGCTTCCCATTTTCATGTGGTTTTGGTTTTGGCATGATGGGGTGCTTTTCGAACCATACAGACATGTCTGAAACATGTCCTGGTGTTGGAGTTTGGCCTATGCTCTCCGTCTCTCACTGGCTATGTAGTCCATCTTATCTTTGTTGGATAAAGCAGCGGCATTTCCATCTCTGTTGTCAAACTTCACTCATTGGGAATGAGAGAAGATGGCTAGGGTTCGTACCCAAGTTTTCGTTGAAACTCATTTTGCTTTCTGTGAGCGAACTCCATGTGATTGAACTTGAGGCTTGTGAAATACTCGACCAATCTCTTTAATTATGTAGGGTGCAAGCGAAGTTCGGACGGGTGACCTCAAAGTACACTAGACCGTTTCGACTTCATGAAATGAGGAGTTGGATCCGTCTGCGGTGAGTGCCTCAATCAGACACGTTGATCAATTCTTTCACCACCGAGTCAATCACATAGGGTATAATTTACTCATCTGGAGTGAATCAAAACATACGCATTTCTCCACTTATTATATGAATCTTTTTGTAGTTACCATGCTCGTTCTGAGATTATATCTAGGAAATATTAAAATAAAATTATTAATATATGATTTTATAAATGTAGATATAAAGTCAACACAACGCAATTGATACAAAATATTGTACTTTGGGCTATGCAAACCGTTGATGGTGGTTCTACATCTGGAACAAGATGAACTATTATAGGGGATTCGTCGAAACATTGAATTCAGAATATGGTAAGGTAGCTCTCGGATGGAGAACTACCCATTTGATGGCTTCACAATGGCTCCATTTGCAACATTCCCATCTATTAATTACTCGAGAAATTTATGCTTCCATTGGACGAAATTTCAATGAATTAGGCAAGGAAGAAACTAGTTTTTCATTACAAGCTAAAGCATTTAGGTTTCAGGTTTTATCTTATTACATTTTTATTGGCAATTCAATCTCGCAATTTCCTTTTTTCTACGGTTCTGAAACACGAGTGTGTGCGACTTCTTATAATTGATTCTACTCGTAGTACAGAAAACGGGTCAGTCATCTTGATAGAGATTATTTTACTTTGTCGGATATAAATTCAAGTATCAGAGCACGGAGTAGATCACAACACATTAACTATGCTTCGCACTTTAATATTTAAATTGCTCATTTGGAATAAATGGAAGCTAGGATCTTGCCGTCATATGCTCAATAATAGCTTCAACCACACTGTCCCAAGCCATGGACTTCCACCAAAGGAGGACAAGATGATAATTGACACGACCTTACAAAGGACATCATGATGCTTCCCAAGACAAACTTCCTACTTGTAAATGCTAAAGGGAACGGTCAATCTAAAAGAGCAACACCACATGGAGTGCTATTATAATGGAGCAAGCAGATCTCCTTTAAGAGATCCCTCAACTCCCAAGTACATCATCTGCTTCCTACTGCTCTTTATGCCGAAATTCAAAGACAACCACTCTTAACAACGATGATAAGCTCCCAATTCTTCACCAATAATCATTTGTTCGGCCGAAAATCGCTACTTAGAATGTTGAGCTTTTCGATGCCACCAAATTCCCGATGTGGATGTGGAAGAAATCAATGCTCAAGTTTTGATCAAGCTTTACCAATAGAACGTATGATAAAAGAACTGCAGACGTGCCCTAAACCCTAGTCATGCTTGATAAAATAATAGAGCTGATAAGCAATTCGGTTTTTTTTTTTTAAGGCCAAAGATAAATAGTTCTTTAAATGTATAATAAGAACATGTTTAGTAACACTCCCATTTTTCTGTTCTTTTATTTCCGGAACAGAAAAAAAATAGAAATCTGTATGTTAACGTCAATTAATTTTTTTGTTCCTTGGAATAGATAAATGGCTAAGGAATAAATTTGGAACAGAAAGAAAAAGTAACAAAAATCTACTTTTTTTGTTCCCGAGATCAATTTCTAAAATAATGTCATTTTTTTTTCCTTCCTTCTTCTTCCTCCTCTAGCTAGTTGCCGAGCCTCGGTTACAGTTGGCAACCGACCAAAGACGAGGGTCGGCGAGGCTCAACGTCGCCCAACCACCTCTGCCTCGCCATGGCCGGGCAAAGTCGACCTCGAGGTGGCTGGGCGAGGTGGGCTTTGCTCAGCCTTGGCGAGGCTCGCCTGAGGCCAGTATCGACCCTCGTCTCTAGCCAATTGCCGACCATCGCCGAAGCCCGACGGGCTAGAGGAGGAAGAAGGGAGGACAAAAAGAAGAAAAAATTCAAAAAAGCTGGAAATATCTCAAAACATCATTTAAAAACTAAAAAAATTTCCATGTCACAAATTTTTTTTAAAGTCGTACCAAAAGCTTTTATATTCTTTTTCTATTCCGAAAATAGAAATCTTGTATAGTTACCAAAAGCATTCCTCTGCTCAAAAACTCGTCCAAGGAATAGAAATAGAAAAACTATTTTTGAAAAGAAATTATTCCGGGGAACAAAAATGTTACCATACGCACAATTGTACAATAAATGTGCGTTTCCAAGTGTCTTTGTAACAGTCGCAAAAATAAGTCTAAGGAACAAAAGGGCAGTTCGTTTATATCATTACACATCAGACGATAAAGTCGTGCCTATGATTAACTAGAATTCATGGCTAACGTCGATGCACTGGCCACCAAGACAACAATCAAGCAATTGCAGCCTCTCCCATGGCCAGTTGTCACTCGCCTCTGCCGGTGAACCGCCACCCGCCACCAGCAACTACCGCTGCCACCACCTATGCTACCAATCACCATCTCATTCTCCTCCACGCACAAACACACACAGAGCAACACCAGAAATAAATAAATAAAAAGTATGAACATCTCAAAGCACTCGCTGCTTTTCTGTGAACAAGCTAATGGAAATTATCAAGAGAACAAGCAGATCCAACAATGTGGCAAAACAAACAAGGCCAGACCCTAACAACAGAAGAAATTTCACTATATTCAGTTTACAGTGTGACGTCACATGCCAACCGGTACAAGTCACTTTGTAGCCAACATTAGCTGTGTATAGGGACCAAGCTCAATCTGCAAAAAAATTTACTTATAAGGCAGTAATACAAGCTACTGCAGGCCGGAAAAGAAAAATTGTCATATGATCAGAATCCTGATGTTTGGCAGCCCCATCCAGCGGTCAACTATACATTTAGAAAAAGCCAATCTCCAAGAAAGTCGAACGGAAATGGACAAAGCTTCAAACCAACCGGACGAGTTGTTGTCCCTCAGCGTTTGGATATGTCCATGCATATACGCATCTCTTTAGGAGAAAGGGGCTACTAAGATTTCCAATCCTTTCATTTGATTGCTGGTAATTCATACTTCATAGACAAAGGCAGATTGTTCTTCCTCAAGCATGCCATCAGATCCAACACCCCAACAGCAAGGTTTTGACACATT